AAACCTGGTTTCTGACCCGAAATTGTTAGCCCCCTCGTGAGTGTTGCATACACACAATGCATACTCATACATGGAGCTAAATCAAGCTCCTAGATTACGTGATCATACGCCAGTTTATTTGAATAGAAGAAAGTTGTGACCACATCCGCTCCCCTGTATGCATCTATAACAAGCATAAATCAGCCAACCAAATCGTGGAATGTCTCAGTAAAGTACATCAGTATCAAGTCCTCAGCTCACCGTCCTGTTACCCAGATGAACCGACATGCTAAGCTTTCATTTGTCATGTGAAAGACATCTTCAGAGCAAAGCGCCATACTTTAAAAAATAGCGCACCAATTAACTTGATTGGTTTAGTAATATTGGTGCTTAATTTCGTGAAGTATGGTATCTTGCTCCGACATTATTTGTCACATGATAGACAAAAGCATATTGTGTATATTCATCGGGATAGCATGACAATGGACCGAGAGCAACGCCGTAATGTTCAATAGTCTCAATTTCAAGGCAATAATTCTTTGTCTTTCGGTGATAACGATAAGTTTTCCTTTGAACTAGAAATTGAGTCAAAGCAACTCTATAAAGAACTACTAAGAACTAGGCACTTTTTCATTTATTAGAGATCAAAATTCAAGCTTGCAAATAAACATGTAGAGTAAATGATACCAACTAAGGGAGATTTTCTTAGGAGTAGAAATTCTCTAAAGATATAGATACAAAAGAGAGACAGACCGGCAATGTAAAATGTAAAGTGCAAAAAGTTAAATTAGAATAGATGATGGGGTCGTAGAAATGAAATAAAAGGAATGGATAGAGAAGGAGAGAGAAGAGGATAGGAGAGGAGAGCGGAAAGGAGAGAAGAGGAGATTATGACAGAGCAGAGCGTAATTTTGTCCAAATGAGATTAGACGATATCAGACGAGACTTGAAGAGGGCTTACTATTTTTAATGATATTTCTTTTAGGCTCTACTTGTAAATCTTTTTTTCTTATCATTAATTTTTCTTATTTTGTTATAATTCTACATCAATTTCTGATAGCCAACTCTCAACTCTCCACGGAATGCCTTCCATTATTTTATCACTGTTTCATTTTCTCTTCGTTCCATCTTGGCCACTTAAGTTTGATGAAATCTACGTGAATACTGGCTTTATTAGCCTTAGAGTATGAAAACTAAACGGATAAGCCAAATAAAACTTCAAAAGAACCGTCTCAACGGTATTTTATGTCTATGTCTTTGTTTCAAGCCAGCGCATTTGTTTAGTTTTGTTTGCTTGCATGGGCAAACTATTGAGGAATTAACTTACTGCTAAATATACGAGTAATTCGGGCAAAACTGTATGGGTCGTCTTCACTCCGAGGCGGCAAGAACTCAGGTCCATAGTTCAAGCTGGACAGAGTTGCCAATGTGAAACAAAAGCGACTGCCTGTAAGACTGCAAGAGTGAAAGGGTCTGAGTGAGAAAGGTGAAGAGAGAGTGAGTAATGGTGGAAGCGAGAATGGCATGAAAGGCAAAGTGCCAGAGCCGCTTTCTTCAAGTAGTTCCCTATCAGATGACCGGCAATTTTCATCTTCATTAGTCGGATTAAGCCGGTTAGACAGCCCAGTCGGCCCAGTCTGAGGGTGGAGCTGACATAGTTTTCAGAATCGCCTTGATGATGCAATTGAATGTAAGTCAGCCTTAAGGCCGACTGAAAACGAAAATAGAGCAACGGCATCAGCAGCAGTAACAACAACAATACCAACAGCAACAATGCTATTCAGCCTAAAGGCAAAGGCTGCAATAGTTGTGACTGTAACAGCAGAAGTAGCAGAAGCAGTAGCACTAGTTTCAACGAAAGGGCAGGAAGTGAAAGAAAGCGGCAAATGCTGAGGAAAATTGAGTAATTGGAGTTACGAAAGTAACAGCAAACGGGAATAAAGATAACAAATGAGATAGGGAAAAAAACATTCTCAGCCAATAGGGTTGAAATAAATACGATTACCCATTCCGCACTTTGGGCATTTTCGGCATCGGGGAAGCAGAATTACCGTCCCGCCTGTTGGACACAACCTAGCCTGAAGCCGTTTCAGCTTCATCTCACAGAGTTGGACTGGTGATGCTATTGGGGTAGTGTATTGCAAGAGGTCTTTAGGACCTCATATTTTTAGAGCCGGTATCATGGGTAAAGCACATACTAAAGCCCTGGCTATCCGTCCAACTAAGTGTTAATGTCAAAACTTTCAGCAAATTTTACTTAAGAGGAAAAAGATTGACTTTTGACGCCGCATTTTGCCCCATTTATATACCCTCCGCGGGATTCGAAGCCAAGGCGATTTACATGAGGTCGTTACTCATGCAAAAAAAATAATTTGAGTTAATATTAAGGATGCCTGATTAGCTTTGGCTTAATTTCTTGCCTATAACTGCTTGTGGCAAAGATTCAGTGATACAGCGAATTTGAGGTTGAATAAATACATACCGCAGTCATACCATCAAATTATCATTAACTCGGGGTTACTTTTAGCGAAAACACTTTCGAAAACAAAACCCTCTTATGACTTGTTTTTGCTCGTCTGGCTTTTACTAACTCGTTCATTAGGTACTCAGATCTGTGTAGGCTCCTATCGGATGGGAAACAAGAATAGAACATCATTGAGGGTCCAGGCTGCACTAAGGTCTGGCTTAAGCTAAATTAAATTCAATGGCGTCGTAAGAACTTAGTATACCATGCCGACTGGCAGGTCGGATGTCTGAAACTCGAAAACGAATGAGCTCGGAAGAAACTAAATGAATAGACTGACCTTTTTCAATGAAGCCAGGCTTGATGTTTGCTTAGATTATGAAAAGCTGTGTAGACCGGTAATTCCACTCGTTTAAAGTGGTCTGATGCAGAGCCGAACGTTTCCAGATAGAAAAAAACCGATTAAGCATACTCAGAATCCAATGAATCGCATGTATCAGCCAATAGATTGC